GTAAATAAAAAAAATGTGAATGGTATGATATCCAAAACATGTTTTTTGAGGAATATGAAATGATAAAAAAATGTAATTACAAAGATACTTCAAGAAAACCACCACACCGGGTCAAAAAAGACCCACTTATGCATCTAAGGGTTAAACGCAATACATGTTTGTATTAGCAGCCATTATCTATACAGTACAGTACCTTCAGGTTTGCTTTGAGCAAGAATGGTGACATCTTCTCCTTTGGGAACCTCCAGGAGGAAGAGGACAGCATCCTCACGCACCATGCCTCTGAAGTCCATGTTGTTCACCTGGAACAGACAAGAAATACCATCAGAGAGAGTGCTTTAGTATAGATTAGACAAACAAATAAAACAATGAACAGATGATCAAATAGTAAACATTTTTAAACAAAGGATAAGATACCTGAGCAATGGCACAAAAGTAAGAAATGGGCTCATTACATCCCGGTTCAGCCCATCGTGTGGGGACATTCACAACTGAGATTATGCCTTTTTTTATTTTGTTTGTTTGTTTGTTCAGTGTAATGGTGATCCAGATAGCCAATTCAGTGTGTAGTGCTAGGATGCGTATAAATGTTATTGCAGGTTGTTGATGTGGAATAAAAGAGTGTCACCTTCATGATCTGATCTCCTGTCTGGAGTCCCTCCTTCTCCGCTGCGCTGTCATCCTGAACGCCAGCGATGAAGATGCCGACATCATTCCCCCCCGCCAGCCTCATACCGACGCTGTCCCCTTTCAGGAAACGCACCATCACTGTGTTCGGCCTGGAACACGTAAAGATAAGATACCTCATTATGAACATGCATACAAAATGAACTATTAGATAAACATTGCTAACTATGGGTTAAAGATCTTGAAAATTGACACAATGGATAAACTGACCCATATATCTCCTGGTCCTCTATGCTGGGCTTTAGTGTCAACTTATGAGGAGCATGAAGCCTCGGAGCTACAGCGAAGGCTGGAACTGCACAAAATGATAAAGAATCATGTTAATACTTTCTAGGTGCAACATTAGGACTGCAGATGGAAATGAGCTATTAACTCAAATCTGGCATGATTAATCTCTTCTCTTTTCTGAGATTAATGTATTTGTGTGCATGGTCCTTGTTGAAAAAAATACATAATATTCCATTCAAATTGAAAGCTACTTAAAACTGGGAAACAAATCTAAGCTTTATGTATTCAGAAGGAGACATGGGTTTACCTGGTGGTGTTTCTGCCCGTGGCTCCTCCCTCTCTGAACGCAAAGGGGGCAGATCTTCCACAGCCCTGTCAGGAGGTCTGAATGGTGTTGCCATGGCACCCATTTTTGCCAGCCTTTTGGGTGGGTCCTCTCTGGAATTTTCACAAATTCAAGTATGAGAAAATTGTATTTCAACAACAACAACACACAGACACACACACACGATATGTATAGCGAATATTACAGCGAATATTACAGCCTAGTTTAGCCATAACTCTCAGCCCCCTTTGATTTGATGTAATGGATTAGCTAAACTTCATGAAACACCAATCAACATAATCCTGCATTATCCAGATTTTTTTGCTGTATTAAACAACACCGATGATAAATTCGCCAAGTCAAGCTGCACTATTTCAGGCGTTGTTTTAACCAAAAATCAAGTATCAGGTAGGGAAATAATACGATTTAATGAGGGCCTACCTGGGCTTTTCTCTGAGCTTCTCATTGGAGGAGTGAGACGAGAGGTCGGAGTGGTGGCCCCGCCTGTCTTCTTGTGGAGAGTAGGAGCGGTAAGACTCGATCTCTGAGATATCTGCAACACACAAAAAGAAACAGGTTACACATGTTAACAGTTTCTGAATTTCAGACCGGAGAGTCCTTTGGGGGTTATATCGGCTCATGTTCAGGTAATAAAGACAAAAGATATATCTAAAACTAACTAAGTAATGTGTCCATGATGCACTTGTATTTTTGTAATTACATAATGTGGATTGCACACGATTCAAATGGCCCACAGGTCATAAAGGCAGGGAAGTGTGCACATGAGCCACACAAATGAAGGTTACATTTCTATGAAGCGAAGCATGACCTGTAGTTAAATACAGTGAGGGCTCAGAGGATGTCTAAATTTACAAGAAGGGGCTAGATTGTATGATTAATGAAGCAATCCATTAAAGGAGTAGATGCACTTTAGGTGATCTGATCTTTGGCAGAACTCCTCGCACACACAACCAGTCCCTATTGAGGTCTTTAGAGAGGGGACACTGCTGCGGTGCCAACCTTAACATAATGAAATTCTGTCGTATCCAATAGCAGGATTACGACGGGGGATTAGATCACCCTGCCTCAGGCTGGTGAGCACTTTCACACATGCAGAAGCACACACGGTCCCAAAATCAGACAAAATGGGTCACAAGTCTTCCTGCAACCCCCTCCCCCCCCGCTTACATTTGGTCAGCGAACAATCCACTCACACCACTTATCTAGATTGATCCCGACAAATCACAGCAAGCCGTTCCGGTCATGTGACATTAAAACCAGGTATAAAAGGGTAAGTAATCAGGAGGGTATGATGATAGTCTCTGACTCGTAGTGCTAGTGCTACTTTGATAGATATTTCTACACGTTTAAATAATAGTAAAAAGCTGATGTGTTAGTAAAACCTTTATTTTATGAAGGGAAACAAGTTTGATATATATTGACAAATACAACAACAACAACAAGGTTTCTACAGTTGATAATATGAAGTTCATAAGCAGTGGGTTGATATACTGTATGGTGATGGCAGGCAGCCGCACGTAGTTTTGCAGCTATTGCGGATAGGACTTGCTGCCTTTCAGATCTGAGTATCTCTCACCATCAAGCTCTGAGTCGCTGTCGACCATGGGGGGAACTCGAATCAACACCTGCCGTTTGTCTCTCTGCACCACCAGCTGCAGCTTCCCGCGGGATTTCTCGATCAGCTTCCCTGCGTCGCTGAGGGACAGGTTTTCTGTCACCGTGCCGTTAATCTGAGAGAGAGAGAGAGAGAGACAGAGAGGAGATCAGGAGACAGCATGAGCCAATGCAGGATTGTATTTATACTGCATTGTTATGGAGAGGGAGATTATAAGAGATTGGAAATGTCCAAGAACAACTAAATGTGCTTTCTTTTGATTTATACATCAAATATTGAACACTGCACTCAATATTCACACTGACACCTAATATTGGTGGTAAAACTAGAATAAAGAGACGGTAATTGATAGTAAAAATCATAAAAAAACATGAAGCTTAGCACCGATTGGCACTTTGAGGAATAAAAACCATGACCCTACCTTTAATATGATGTCCCCTTCCTGCAGGTTCCCATCTCTGCTGGCCAGTCCTGTGTTGGTCATCTCTTTGATGAAGAGCTGACTGCCGAGTCGAAGGCCATACTCTGGAAAGATGGTATAAAAATGAAACTTGTTAGTCAAACAAAATACAGTTTTAAAAGTACCAGCTTTATATTTTGTTTGTCTAAAAGACTAACAATAGTATCAAGCAGCATTAGGGGAAAATAAATCCATTCATGTATTATTTGAGATTCTTATCTCCTAAAAATCTGATTCCATTTACAACTTTGAAATATCAATACGTTGTTTTCCTCAAAACCTAAGCATTGCTACTGATTGAAAGTAATCGTGAAGTTGTGTGAAGTATTATCTTCGACAAAAATCACAACAAATAAATGTTTACAGTGATATTTTGTGTAAAATAAAATAAGATTCACACATATATTAGATATACACATTTTATACATATTTGTATTTTGTATTCGGGATTGTGGGAAACGATATGTCGATCGCTCCGTCTGTACACACAAACTGAAAGATTGACAATAAAGCTGACATTGACTAGTAACAATGTTTGTTAGTGTCTCACCTTCGTTCGGCCGGTTCTTCAGCAGCATCACATTCAGGGGTTTCTCCAGGGGCTCCAGGCTCTGTGCGGGGCGGGGGAGGGGGATGGGCAGGGCGGCCGGAGACGGGGAGCGCTCCAGACGGTCTCTGCTCCCGCTCCGTTTCATTGGCTCCTCGTACTTCCTCGGGTCGATGGGGGCGGGCTCACGTCCTCGTTCGATGCTGTGGTCGCGCCCGCGGCCTCGTGGGGGGCTGTGGCCGTCCCGCCCGTGGCGCAGGTCGGGGCTGTGCGTGTGGTCCAGAGTTCGCTCGCTGCGGTAGCGTCTGTCCGGGCTGGTGTCTCTGTCGAGGCCTCGCTCGCTGCGGTAGCGCCGATCGGGGCTGTGGTCTCGGTCTAAAGTGCGTTCACTGCGGTACCTTCTGTCGGGGCCGCAGTCGGGCTCGAGCAGGTGGTCCCCTCCCCTGTGAGGGCGCTCCGGGCTGCGTTCTCTGTCCAAAGTGCGACTTCTGCTGCCGTCTCTCTTGTACTGCCGGTCCGGGCTCAGGTCTCGCTCGTTGCTCCGGCCACGGTCCCGCCGATCGTAGTCCCTGTCGTAGTCCCGCTCACGTGTTTGGTAGCCGGAGTCCGTGTATCCGCCCCGCTCCCTCTCCGGGCTGTGGTCCCGCCCGCTGTACACGCTGCGGCGGTCCTGATCGTAGTTGTAATCGTCGTTATAGTCGTTGTTGAAGACTCTGTCATCAGGGGACGGGGGACGGTTCAGCATATTGACTGGAACCTTCCTGGGCCTCTTGACTGTCTGTTGAATAAAACAGACCATTTCTTTGATCATATGTCTGATATTTCAACTTTTTTAAAGCTCAAACTAGAGATAGAGAGGATATGCAAAGAAACCAAAAGCTGTACTCACAATTTTTGCTACTTTGCCACATTTCCTGAGGGTCTGGACGGCGAAAGAGTGCATGGCGCCCTCCATGGAGATGGCGTTCACCTGCACCAGTCGGTCATTCTCACTAAACACAAACACATGAGGTTGGTATGAGCTAAACATATCTTGGAAATGTAATTTTCTTATGTACTAAATTATGAGCAACAACAGTACGTACAACAAGAAGCCATCAGCAGGCCCTCCCTGCAGAACATCAGACACCACGATGGACGTCTCGCCACTTTCCTCGTTGGGGTTGTCTCGCCCCCCCGACACTGCAATTCCAAAGCCCATCTTTGAATCCTGAGAACAAAAAAAAAGCATGTAAATCTTGTGTAATTTTCATCTATTCATTTTGAGTGTGTGTGAGAGGTAGTGTAATCCCTGTGGTCAGAACACAGCGTATTATCATGGCTGCATGTGTATTGAATGTAGCGATTAAAGGGATTTGGACTCTGATTGTGATTACAGTTGTGCATCCTGGACTCATGTATTCTGTCCTGTCATGTATTCAGCAGTACAGTGTCTACATCTTGTGTAAGATATGTGATTGACACATTCTAAGACCCCTAGCATCCACCCAACATTTTTGTTTGGAGATTTTCATTAACACACAACCCTGTTTTAAAGGCTCTCTGGAAATGGTTCTACCTGCCCCTGCTCCAGTTTTCCCAGATGAGATTAGGTCAGAGATTTGATGACCCAGCCTCTTTATCCCCTCCCTCCCATCTGTACTTAACAAAAAACCCATACATTTCACCATTCCCCTCTGTCTCTAGCAGATGGCCTTGAAGGCAGAGGGGGGTTGAGAGAAAGTGCAAGCAGAGAAATCAACAGAGGCAACAAAAGAAGCGAAGAATACATAAACAATTCCTCACTCTGATAAAAAAAATCTTAAAAACTTCCTCCGTGCAGTGAAGAATCAAACTTAACAAAAATATAAATCTGGATAAAAACACAGTTTCTCCCAGATGTTAGATTTTGGCTTGACAACAAAGCATGCTTGACAAAAACTGGCTTTGGAAAGGGTTTATGAGGTAATGTTTTCTCTGCCATTCCTAGTAATATACATCATTTTTTATTCATGTATCTATATAGTATATAATGTGCAGGGATTCTTTAATAATACAATTCAACATGCAAGCGTTTTGGGATTTGTGTTTTTATGATGCTGAATGTCACTTACAATTATTTTAAAATGAAAAACAAAACCAGCAGAGTGTCTTTGTAGTTGAACGATATCTGGTTCAGTCCTATAGGCAGTGAAAACAAAAATAAGGTTTCTTGCTTAAAGATTTGAATAGTCAAATCCAAAATACTGCCATGATTCAAATTGTGCCTTTCAAATCTTTACTTCTTTGTGTATATCCTCCATGATGGCTTTCACCCTGCACAGAGTAACACAAGATCTTATTCAACTTATCCAAATGTTTTTGGGTATGTTACTTATTTGAACGTATTTACTCTGATCTACATTTGAACAGAAATCACATTCAAACCACATCAATCATCTTCTTTATATGTGTTTGCAATATGTCCTCTACATGTGATGTTTATAGGTTATATAAGCATATACGCCTTTATGTTTTCCATATATTTCAAAGTCTTAGATCACATGTGTCAAACTCAAGGCCCGGGGGCCAAATCAGGCCCGTGGTGGATTTAATTTCGGCCCGCAGGATCATTTCTAATTACTAGTCAAGCTATTTGACACAATCAGTTGTTCACCACCTGTGTATCACCTCGTCAAGGTAACATCGAGTCCATCAGAAGGGAAAATTCTCAAAGAAATCTAGGTTCTTCTCTTCCATTCATGAACCTCGGACTCCGAGCCCCGAAGTAGTCTACCTCGTCGGCTTTCTTGATGAGATCTTAATGTACCAAACAAAGAAGACACCACTTAACGACTCTGTTTAGTCACTTCCGGCAGGCTAACGATCTTCACACGTTAAACTTGTAAATGCTTAGCCATCTATTGGCAAATCCTACAACAAATCCATCTCCCGTCTCCCCTGTACAGTGCTACACGTCCCAACCGCATATCAACTAACTCAGCGTAGAGCACAACGTACACAGCGCTACAACCTCTAAGTAAACATTGGTCATTAGCTCGCATTCACCCGTCTAAAAACTTTTGCCGGCCGCATCACCCATCAGTCTTCGCGCGTCACTCCTCCCGGGCTCGTAAAAAAGTGCTGTCCCACAACCCCCCTTCTTCTTCAAATGTGAGCAGGACGCACATTCATCACTACTACCTACTCGCACTCGCAGCGTCCAGCCGCGTACTGCCTCTTCACCATGTTCCGCATCTACCTTGCCACACCAGAGTGGCTCTCTCTTTCCGTACGTTCTAAGAGTCTCTAGACTCCAGCGTATCAGCTCCATGGGGGGCTGCTTGAAAACGATTTCTGGTCACCCGTTATCGCAGGTAGCGGCTACAGACAAGTGCTTTCACCCCCTCCTCGCGCCACCGCTTCCCAACCTCCGTATTCTCTTCAGTGCACCTGCTGGGTGAGCTTACTAAGCCTACTAGTTTGTCAACGCTTTACGAAAGACGACGACGCTTGTCTTTCGTTTGTCCAGCGCCAAGTGAGCTCCGTAGTTGGCGGTTTCTCGGAATAGCTCCGTCGTTTCACGTCATCGATGTTCTACTTCGACCAGGCTATTGCTTGCTCAATTTACTTTGGCTTCCTCCGCCTCTTCACTCTCTCTCTTCTCACTGCACTCTCTCTCTTCTCTCTCTCTCTCTCTCTCGAAAATGTCTATTTCATTATTCAACTTCAACAAATTAACCCTATCCAATCCCCCAAATCCGTGCAAGCAACCGTCCGCAACACACACGACTCTCTCGAGGTTCGTATCTGACGGGTTATAAATTTTTGTTAGATAATACAGAACAGGCGTTGAAAGGTCGTCATCTAAAGCGCTTGAAGGGCCGTAAAGGTGGCGTTATCTTCATGGTTATTTTGGACGTACAAATTATACGTATTAAGTGCCTAACAAACGGCCGCAAACAAAGACCTCCTCAGATTTTTTGGTTGCTCACGTCCGAAGGTGTGACGACCTATCTTTCTATTGTTTTGCACATTTGGGACACTCGCTTCGTTTGGTCAACTCCGAATCATTTAGTAGCACTTCACCCGAGCTAACAGAGGACGACGCCGCAGTGACTTCAGTGTTTCGACCTAAAGATTCATGTCTTCTCCCAGATACCGATGTCCGGTGCACTGGCACGTGGACACCTGACAGAGTTGGGCACCTGCTGGTGTCCGGTCCAGACAAGGTTGAGCTCATCTGAAAAATAAGAGAAAGTGTTCAAAAAACATTGTCAGCAAGAAGTATTATACAAACCATAAAACCCTACAACACCGACGTAGCGCTGTCATCTGTAAACGCAGTTGAGCACACAAACCCACATAAGGCAGCAGCGCACAACATCTGCTCCTGCTTCCTTTACTGGACGTACTCACTGTACCCAAACTCACCGAATGACTCCTAATCCTCTAACTGTCGGAAATTGCATATCACAGCAGAAAAAACCATTTTCGCCAGGATCTATTCTCCGCTGCATCTTCTTCCCGATCTCATTAGGAATAGCGAATAATCATCAGCAAGTGCATCCTTTATTCAGTAGAGCGTCTTATTTGAATTGTTGCAATCATCCTCCACTCAAAGTCCTGCCACACTTTGGAACAGTCATCAGTCCACTTGTGTCAGAGTTCCCCACAGTTTGAGTTTATGTGTCACCGCTTAGTTATTTTTTTACCCATGAGCAGCTTCCCCGGCCTGACCAAGTCTACAACTAAATGTTTTGAATAACCTTTACTTTGAATAACGGTGTATATATTTGGCCTTGATTGGTTTCGAATTTACTAACGGAATATTCTTGTTGTATATTAGTCAACGTAAGTAAAGAATACCGAGATTAGACGTCGAAAAGGTCTCAGTAAAGAATATACTAATGTAAAAGGGTGTCCGGTTGTGCCGATGTTTTTTTGATAAAGGAAGATTCTTTTCTGGTTTTGTACGGGACGAACAGCATTCTTTCTTTCAGGTCTTCCCTTTGTAGGTAAGTTGAGTCACACGACGAGACACTACCGATCAAGTTCGTCCTATGAACCGTAGAGGTAGAACCAACGTTCAAGTAGTTACAAACCGCCGAGTCCGAGACTCGGCTTTCCAGTGGGCGTTTTTTCCACTAAACGCCCACTATAAAAAAGTTGCGAAAAAAGGCCCAAGCCAAGACCCATTTTGTTTCTACTACGCCCACAGCCCAACGCCAAAACGTATTATTTATATAAATTGTTATTATTATTAAATCAAAATTACAAAATTGTAGGAGTCTGGAGAGGGGGCGCGCCCTGCACGTATTAGTATTTGGAGACGCGCGTAGATAGACGACGACTCGCGCGTGTAAGACTTACCGACTCCACTTTCGAGAGAACGCCTCGTATGGTCGTAAAAGTTGTGACGGAGTTACTCGCTTTAGGTTGCAGACCCTCCGAAAAACAACAGCTAGACTACGGTTTTTATTGGTTTGTAGGGTCCGAAAAACTCGGTTTATACGTTGACCGCACAAAATTATTAACGTGCAAAATGACGAATAATATACGCCCAAGCCCAGCCCAACGCCTAGAACACAGCGCGCCAGCCCAGCCCACCGCCTCTGATTAACCGTTATACACGCCCCATCGCCCCGCCCAAAGCCATAACGTGCAGCCGCCCACCCCCGCCTCGCCCAGAACTTTCTAGTCTGGGCACGTTCCTGAGACGAGACTCGACTCCTCTGGGAAGTCCTACCTCACTTCCACACGCACGTTATATGGCCGCCCGGTCCTAGATNTTTTGTTTACTTGTGTTCTCTGTATTTTATATGTCTGTGTTATGTGTGTAACGTTGCTGCCTTCTTGGCCAGGTCAGCTTTGTAAATGAGATTTTATCTCAATGCTTTTTATCTCGTTAAATAAAAACATAAATGTGTGTGAGACAGAAATGACCTCTATGACCCTTAATATATGTGCAACTCATGTGTAGGAGGGTGTGGGATAATCCTGGAGAGCTGTGCGGCGGGGGTCTCCAGGTGGCCCGGAGGGTATGTCAGTGTTAACCCCAGTTGACCCTGGCTCTCTGCTGTCAGAGGTAGGAGATCTACCCCTAGCTTGTCAAGGAAACCAGGATAATGTGGCATGTTCCTCTTGGAAGGCAGTCCCTGGAAAGAGCTGAAATAAGATACGTTCCTTTTATGTGTCTTTTTATTATGCAATGTGGATAAAATCATACTTATGACACCAAATGGTCGGGCATCAAGAACACTCATCTGTTTCTGTAAGTATTAAATGTCCCAATGGCAATATGAAGTCAAGCCCAAACAACATTTATCAATCTAACGTGTATGATTGTATGCCAGCTTTGAAGACAATACAAGCTGTTTTTGTTCCAATAGAATGAAACGATGTCTGTCTCAGACAAGCCTCGGCAGAAGAAAATGTCTGGTTGGCAGGTTGAGCTTCAACACTTCCTCTAAATGCTGAGACACAAAAGTCTCAGATGGCAGCACATAGCAGGGTGGGGGTCTCCTTTAGTGGGGTGTTAGGGAGTCTAGGAATTCCTGCAGCCTGCAACAGCTGACTGTTGGGAATGAGAGGTCACGGTCTAATTTTACTGGACAGTATGATGTGGGGGGAAATTCTTGACACTATGTAAATACATTGTCCAGGTGAACACGTTTTGAACATTAAGGTATGTGAATGGTGTCTGAATGTGTGAAAACTGTGTATCCAAGACAGACGATAATGCTTAGACAGTCAGAAAATAAAATGAATGTATTATTACTCTTTTCTGAAAGATGTAATTTATTTCAGAAACACTTTTTTGTTATATTCCATGGAATACTCTTAACATCCCGATAGCAATGAATATATTAAATGCTTTGACAATAAATACAGAAAAAAATGTCATCTGTCGAAGCCGTAGTACTGTAAAAAGCACGACCAATCATTTTAGGCTAAAATAACTGGATGGCCTAACTGCCTGTCAGCCTTCCATCTGTGCACAAACTTATGTGCCCTCATTGGTCATGTGCGCGTTCTTGTGTGTTGGAGGAGGGGCTCTGTAAGGAAGTGCCAGATTTTTTCCGGTTGTGTATTTTCAAATTGTAGCGCACTCGAGCTGGTTTCTCCAAAATTACCTACCCCACCTTGAATGCGTTATAGTTTATATTCACCAAACATGAGCTCAGGAAATGCAACCACTGAGCATGAAATGTTGTACTGACAATATAATCATTTAGAATGGAGACAGTAAATCACTTGTGGTGCACTTAGGTTTAGTGTACTACATGATTAGTCGACACTGTGACATTTTGTCTGTTATGTTCTGTAAATGTCACGGCTCTTAAATACAACCATGGAGAGAACAACTGTGGATTGGGAGTCTGCCTTGCACCATAAACATTGTCATTAGTCACTGGAATCTAGTAAGTGTGATCAGTATATGAATGTTTATGCAAACAAATCTTGTCTGACCTCCTTCCCGTGACAGGGTCTCAAAGGGACAAAGCCCAGATTTAGCATGCATAGACAGCAATGTTGGGTCAGTGACAACATGTTGGTTCAGACAGAGCACACACTCACTGCATGCTAATAGTGATAAAGATGTTTTAATACAGTAAGTTCACCTGACATCAGAGATGGCGTTTTGTCTAGATAATCGATTAAAGTATGAATGCATGACCAAGGTTAATTACTGTTTTCAGTGGAACAAGGTTACAATTCATAAAAGTATAAATGTCTCAAAATGTCAGCTATGTCTGAAGTAAACACTGAACCTAGGGGTCTGACGTTTCTCTACACAGACTGACAGAAGAAGCCATACTTCTGCCTCCATGACTCTCTTCCAGCACAGCTGCTCCTGCTGCCTGAGCTCAGCTGCAGGATCGATCAGCTGCAGGAGTGGAAAGTTAGGAGGGAGTCTGGAGCTAAAATGTGGTTCACGATGACACATATGATTGCATACTTTGCATGAAGTAGCCAAACTAAATAAAAATGATTGTATTCATGAAGTGCACCAAAAATGACTCTCTGTCTTTGCCAAATAAGGTCACCATGGGTCTGTGGCATAAAGTTGATAAATGCAATTTGCACTCCCTGTCTCTTATGATTAAAAAGTTACTAATGTAAATTGTTTATAGCATTACACTAAAGCAAATAACACAAACTAGTTAGGGATTAAGGTTACGTGATATACTCTATATGTGTTCTGTCTGGTACCCCGACTCAGTTATCCTTAAGCAGAGATTTCAGAAGTGGCAGAAACCAAAATAGAAAGGCTTGTAGAAATGTTCAGGGACCTGCCAAAGTGGCAAGAGAAGAAAATAAATAATGTAGGCTCTGAACTCTTGTTACTCATTCAGCTTTACCTTCTGACTACTGCTCCTCTCTTAAAGCAGGCTCTAAAACCTATTATAGAGCTGCTTTTGACCACTTTCATAACGTTACAGATTCATGTTTTCTTAGTAAGTACAGGGAATGACAACAATAACACGCGTACAATATGATTCTACTTTTGGTAAAAACCTGTTTTGGTATTTCATTGGTTTGCAGTATTTTCAAGGTATTCTGTTTTCTCTATATCCTCAACCTTCGACAGAAAAAACAAACTGTTTTACAGTATAATGCAAAAGAGGATAATGCAATCCATTTTATTGAACAGATGTTTGTATATTGGGTCCAGCCCCAGTATTTATGTGTGTGTGAACAGCTTTTTCTGAATAAGATCCTACACCGCCTCTCTTGGCTTTGTGTTGAACCTTGCTCATACAAAAGGCATTCATTGTAGAACAAGCAGAGAGAACAGTCACTGATGTCATTGGAGTTTGAGGTCCAGACACTGGGAGAGATTCAAAAATGTTTTACATTTCCAAACACAGAGATTAAAGGCTTATATAAAAGGCTTTTATCTTATAAACAAGAGGTCTAAGCAAAACATTTTAGCGCTTTGTGTGTTCAATGATCCTTAAGTGACCACTGAGAAAACCACCATACAACACAAGAATAGATCTGAATGGATCACAACAACGTCTGACATATTCACTGAAAGATAAGATGTTACTTTAAACAGCTTTAACCACAACAATGATGCAAACATGGCTCGCTTTCCTCACAACTTCAGGACACATCGCTTATGGTTTATACCAATAGAGATTTTCACTCCTCTTTATAATCCAGACTAAGCAGAAGCAGACAATGTTTCTTTTACCCTCACCACGATGAACGATTGGGTAAGCTGTTATTGCA